TTCTCTCTCACATTATTCTGTCCCTTTTTTTAATCCTCATTCCCGCCCTTCCCTGTTGTTCGCTCATTCGTCCTTCGCGCTCGTCCTCGCAACCCCTTTTTGCATTTAAAGGGACTCGCCGATACTCCCTTTGGATTCTCCGAGCACTTGGATATTAACCGGAGATAAACGGAGTCTAATGAAATATCGACGTCATTCACGGTGAAAGTTTGTTTAATCTGGAAATACCGTTCATGCGACGGTAAATTACTGAATGCACTGATGAACAGAAATCACACAGTAATAAGTATTCTCGAAATAATTCGAAGAATTTTTGCGAGAAAGATGAAGGGCAAAATTTTGTGACGTGCGACGAAGAGATAAATGTCACTAAATTTGCGATAATGCAGCGCGATATATGAATATATCGTTATATTTTTAAATAAAAAAATATTTTAAAGAGAGACAATTTTCATAATTCATTTAACGTGCATGTTATACAATATTGCCAGATAAACAACATACATCATCCTGCGTGTAAATAATGACGTTTATTAGCGGATCAATAATAATACGTAAAAATAATAAACGATAGAGAAAAATGAAATCACACGAAGCATGCTAGAAAATTCTGGACGCGCTCGCTTGCATGAATATAGATTGTAAAGGAGCCGCACGCGCTTCAGAATTACACATCTGCTCGGCCATTGCTTGTATAAACAAAGATTCGTTTATCGGCAGGCTAACATGTACATAACATGATATTTTTTGGAAGCATTCTATATTATTTCTTTTATGTGTATGTATGTATGTGTGTGTGTACGTGTATAAAATAATATAGAATGCTCCCAAAAATATTACGTTATGCACATGAAGCCCGTTGATAAACAAATATAAAAAATTCATATATGTATACATATACATATATGAGAAAGAACAACTACCATAATTTAATGTTTTCATTTATTTATATTATTTTTATGCTTGTATTTATACGAAAATATTTTTTTGACAAATGTTCAATGGATAAAATTTTAAAATGCAAAAGTCTTTCAATGATTTTTTAAGCCGTTTTATTTTTATTTTAAACGTAGAGGGATAGAAGGTGTCGATTGAATCGAATATCAACGAACTTCGAACGATCTTACGACTTTATGAAGTTCTCTTGATCGTTTTGGGATCGAGTTTTGGGTAACCATTGACTTTTGCTGACCGTCCTATGATTCGACCGCGATTTCCTCACTTCCATTGTGTCACACTTGAAGCAATCTTGATAGACTTCGTAACTTCGTAGAATCTCGCTAGCTTTCCGAATAGTGGATTAGGTTAATGCCGACAATTGTCCCGTTGAGTCAATTATTTGCAATCTCCATACAGAACTTTAAAGCGATTCTGTAGTTAACTTATTGGCCGCAAAGTTTAAGCAAAAGTTAAAAATTTCATATCATGTTGAACTAGACTCACTCTATCAATGTAAAGAATTTTTATCGTTATTAAAAACGTATAATTCCTGTTACAGCATTTTGTAAAGCTTTTCTCCAATGCATATTGTTGCAAATTTAATGAATTAAAAATTTAGATTTACAAATAAACATTGATTGTTAAAAATTCTTGTGTACACTATATGATAATTAAACAATATCTAAACAATCTGATCTATATAGTCTAGATTTATATATAAATTGTGTCTGGCAACGTTCTAAAATATCCATGGATATAAAAATTCTATAATTAAAAATAAAAAAAAAATTATAAACTCAAGAATATATAAAATATAAATAGAATATCCGTCAAGCACCAAATAATATAATTATCGCTCAAATCTATGATCTATTTAAAAAAAAATACTAGTTTCTCAAAATAAATTTTCATTTACGGAAATGGACACAGCACGTAGAATAACCGCGCAATATATTATCGTATTTCGACAAAGTTGTTCCGGTACGAGTAGTCAAGTTTGCGTGGTTTAAGCCGGCCGCGATCGAAGTGCCGCGGTGTTGCCTGACACTGTTTATAATTTAAGGGGTTCTTGAGAGTCAAGAGGCTGCTGCGAGGGTTTGAAGTGACGCCGACGGTGGCCTAAGACATCGCGAAGGACAGTGTCGTTCTACTGCGGTTACGGGTGTAAGGATCGGCAGGCAAGGGTGAAGTACAAAGTGTCGAGGTATCTACGTGCCTTGCCATAGTTCTGATATGTTCGTGACTTTGTTATAAGATGTATTGACATTTGACAAGAAGATGTAATTGACAATTTTACGTATGCTTCAAGTTGTAAGATCGTTACTTGTATATATAGGAACGTGGAAAGACTCTATTTTTTCAAGCTATTTGAAATCATTGATAAACGGGAAATCAGTAATGCAATCTTTATTTACTACCTATATTATAAGTATATAAAATATTAAATACGTAAAGAAAGTTAAATTTATTTAGCAACTTGTATCAAAATTGAGATCATTCTCTGAAATTGAAACAGTCGAAGATAAACAATAAAAAAGAAATCATTATAAATTATTATAAGCATTATATTTTTTTTAGAAATAATTTAATTTATATTGTTCTCAATGTGATATTAGAAATTCAGAATCTCTCAACAACGATGATACTCTTTCGGTCTGACCTGGACGCGTAATAAAATATCGCGACCTGTATTCATTTTGATATATCTCAGCTAAACTCGGCAGGATTAATACGGTACATACATTTTAATATTAGCTCGATAGTCGATCCTTCGGATGGAAAAACACGATTATACTCCTTGGGTCATCAGGAATAGGAAAATCGAAAATAGAACTCGATGAACGGTTTCGTGTTACGCGGATCCCTTGGAATTAAACCTGCTTATCCACATGTATTATTAATTATCTCGTCTAATGTCGGACGCGTATAAGATTTGCCTTTTGCTCTTCAAGATGTATGTATGTAACAAAAGATTCGTATATGTAAGAATAAGAATTAGAACAGATTAAAAAAATATATATATTCGTGGACGAAAAGACAATATGCTAGTTAACTCCCCTAAAATTTTATCTCGAAATTACGGACTTGTTGCATTTTTGTGAGATATTTGACTTTGTTTAAAAATTACGGATAAAAAAAGCAATTTTCAGCATATTGAACTGGAATACGTATACCATACAGACTACCACAACGTATACTAGAGACGCACATACGTTGTGAACCATATTATACCTTTTACGGAAACGAAACCGTTGAAAAAGGCCGCTTTAAGGGCCATAAAACATTTGTTTCCACCACCGCCACTTGCCGGAGTGGTATATTGCGTTCACTCACGAGTGCGGGATTTTGAATTGAATTTGAAATCAGGGGGCCCGATTTTATGGCAGCCGGGTGTCAAATGTCGAAGTGTCGCGCCCGGTACCGGCTTATCGCTGAGAAACTCCGTGATCCCGGGACTAAAGCTCCGAAAGGGCGTTATCGGTTTACTCCTTCGTCCTTAGGTCGCGATACAGGATGCGGAAGACTGTTCAATTCCGTTTTCGATTTGAACTCTGCGTGAAAAAGCACGAAATGGGCGCGAAAGGAAGCAAGATCTACTGTTTCGTTTTATTGGCTCCACTCTTCCTTGATGATCATTCGAGATGATCGGATTATAGTTACTGCTTGAAGATTCGCAGCTGTCTTCCTTCAACTTGTTACAAATGTATTCCGTGAGATCTCAATCCTTGTTATTATTAGGAATATTCATCTATTATAATTCTTTAAATTTTGCATTTGTTTTATACAAATATATCCAAATAACAAAATCATAAAATGTTTTTTTTTCTCTATGTGTATATAAGTATATAATGGGATATATTTAAAACTTTCAGTAATTTTTTATCTTGCAAATCTCTTTTAAATAATGCAATATATATGTATCTCAGAATTTGTTCGTTCTATTAAAAAAATTAAGAAAAATAATATCGAATTGAAGATCTCTTTCACAGTAACATTTGCAATACAACCACATCTTACATCAACATTACATTGATGTCAGATTGTAAACCGTAGTGTCGCCAATACAATTATACACATCGATGTTTCCAATAATTTCGCGTTAATTTAATTTGTTTATGTAGCATTAACGATATGTCGAAATATTTCAATATATATGATATATAACAAATAAATTATATGCAAAGCAATATAAAACATAAATAATATCATATTGTTTGGTAGATTTTGTATAAGATCAATATTGATTATCAATATGTGGAGACAACATCGGATTGTAAAAAACACCTATTACAATAACGATCGTTTCCCTTATTATTCACGCGATAACGCGCATCATATGTTACATATTAGCGGCAAATGCGGCTAACAAAAAAAAATTGTTACGATGCTACATTGTTTGGCGCGGATTAACGTCTTGAAGCTTATCGCGTATAAACAGCTGCGGCTATATTTAGCGACATTATGTGGATCAATGTTATCATATTTCGTCACCATTTGATAAAAGCGAGTGTTTCATTGTTTGAATTAGCACAAATTCAGTCTAATCACGTTCTAAACGACTGTTATTCGCATAAATTCTGTGGCAGGTAAATATTTTTTATCAGACATCTATATTTTCAAAATATAACACTTTTTCTAGAACAGGGTTTCAATAATACTTGATGGTTATATTGATGCGTCTCAATGTTTAGATTAGATTCGACTAAATATAAACAAAATATTTGTCTCATATTTTTTCGTCTTTCCGTATATTTGTCGTTATTATATTTAATTATTGATAATATTTTATTGTATAGTTTTGTATCGTATATTCGACTTCATCTAAAATTAATCTAAATGTAAGCAAATAAAAACAGATTTATGATATAACTTCTAATGATTAGCACATGTGATTTCATCGCGTGACGTCATGTTAAATTTGGACTAGGAGGATTCGTCCATCATCATTGGACTAGAAAGATTCGTCCATCACCACGTCCAAGGCGCGTCAGAGAGGCGATAAAAAATAAATATTGCATGCGGTAATAACTCGAGGTTGTTTCCCGAGATTAATTCCTTACCTGATCGTTGTCTTGTTGATCTTGGCCGTAAGTGGGAGTATCACCATTAGGGGTAGTGGCGGCGGAGGGTCGCTGTGACGTTGACAAGTTGATCGCGCCGTCTCCGTCTGTGTCATGATCCATTATGCCATCGTCCTGAAATCACGATCATCGTTACGTCAGTAACTCTCTCGTGCACAGAACTCGATTATAAACGGCGCGCACTTTTAGGAGAACATTGTTAGCAATGTACCTTCTTATCGACTTACTTAATATATAATATTAAAATATTTTTGTTTCAATATTATATATAAAATAGTGGTTATTTAAATTTAGTGCAAATATCAAAAAATTTTATATTTAAAATAAAATCTGTGCATTATATAATCATATAATATTTTTCTCTGCAATATCAAGAAATCTTTTAAAATTTAATTTATTAAGTGTGATATATATAAATTATATATACATATATTTTTTAGCACCCATAAAATTCCTGATATTATATAAATACTAATGGAAAAATAAAAAAAGAGAATATTAGAAATATTTATATAGAAAGCTGCGCACATACATAAATAACTTTGTGCTTAGTGTAAAATATATATTTTGGGAATATTCGATCATGACCTCAGAGCGCAGTAATCGTGATGAGATCTCGAAACATGCGCTCTTATCCGACATTGCCCTCAGGAGAGCCACGGTTTTAGATCGAAGTCTGACGCACGTGATTCCACCCACTCGACGCAAGAGAAACAATGTTTCACGGTTGCGGAAAGCTAATAATACATACTTTCCCGGAAATACGTAACACGTCGTGCTAAGATTCTGCTAAAATTCTGCTTTCCATCATAAGCAGTGTATAATACACAATATCTACAAGGTTATCGTAAATATTTCGGAGTACGCATCAGACGATGGTCGAGCTACGTATAAATAATTCGTAAAGCCCATCGTGTAATATCGTGATAAACTGTATAATATTTTTAAAATGTAATTAATTAAAAGTTTAAGTAAAAATTACATTTTTATTAAAGCGTGAGAAATAAATGAAAATGTCTTTATTCTATTACTTTCGCATATATGCAAAATAGGGAAAAGTCCAAAAATCATTATTAACATATTAATTATCCAAACAGAAAAATTAGTCATGCAGTATTCCTTCATGGATCTCACTGGGGTAAATCGAAAAAAATCAATTTTTTTTTTTCAGAAAGGAATAATTACGCGCGATATGCAACCCGTTAATTGAACATCTGTCGCTTATCTCAAATTCTGTAGCTAGAAAAGATACGTATAAAGGATCTCCTAGAAAAAAATACATAATCAAGCGTCGTATAATTAATACCTATTCACAACACTGATTGTTCGCGACGACACATTCGTGACTAATATTATGATACGCCTAGAGTCATCTGAGACGATCGCTTAATTAATTCTTAATTAATGTATGCATGCCGCAAAGATTCAATCAAAATTCCTTACATCTGCTTCGATCCGCTGGCGGTCGCGTTGCAGTCCATAAGCGTTTAACAATACACTTTCCGACAAAAAGGGAGATCTGCTGTTTCCGGCATCAAAACTACGGGACACTACTCCGAAACTTCACGCGGCGGGCGGCATTTCCGGTCCCGGCATCACAACCACGCGGCGCGTCCACGGTCACAGACACTCGCGCTTATGTCCACCGTAAACATCCGGTATATACGACGCGGAAAACTCGCGTAATGGCGGCGGAAGTCGCCTCTCTGATTGTCTCACAAAAGCACCGACCTCACACACGTTTCCCGCACTGCATCCAGGAAGCGGCACTTTGAACCTCCTCCTTCGCAAAATCCGGGGGTCACTCGCGAAGGAAAAGGAGAGGGGTAAAAGTCGAAAACGCACCCTCGACAAATGGAACGCAACGACAGCGACGGCGAAAAGATAAAAAAGAAGGGGGAGAGATACAAAGAAAGAAAGAATGAAAGCGCGTCGGATTCGCGTAAAGAAGAAGACGAAAGCCAACGTTAGCACGCCAACCGAGTAGAACGAGGACTAAACACTAAAAGCGGCACAGGAATACCAAGCAGCCCGACCGGCTGTTGCTTATTGTGTAAATATAAACAAATATAGTTGAAACCAACCAACAGGCCTGCTTTCAGTTTCTCCCGTCCCCCCTCAATCTCCCCGCTGCCACAGTCCTCCGCTCGCTCAATGTGTGTACCCTACCTTCTTCTCCTCCGTGTCCCCCATTCCCCTCCTCATATTCCCGCACCCCCTCTACGCGGCACGTCCAAAGGCTTCCTCTCCTCGTCCCGCTTAGACACCCACCCTTCGCGCTACGTCCCTGACCCCACCGCCAGCAAGCAAACCACTACATCATACGCGGCACATCGTGGTCTGACTCGCCTTACCATATGTTCGTTTCTCCTTCTCTCTTTCCTGCTCTCCGACCATATCCTTTTTTTTTCTCTCTCTTTTCCTCTTTTCTCTTTTCTCTCTCTCTCTCTCTCTCTTTATGCCCGCGCATCACACATCGCCGACTCGTCACACACTGTCGCCGAAGTCGGTGGATTGCGGGAGCCTGAGAGGTCTCTTTGGGGTTCCTTTTTTTTTTGTGAAATGCCTTTACGGATCATGGAAGAAGGAAGGCCGAAGTACGTTTTTTTCGGATATTTCTGACGTACGTGTTGTGAGAATAGCTATGATTATTCGGACCAGTTTATGTGCCAAAGTTCTACTGCCGATCAATTGGAAACAGTTTATACGAAGAAAAATGTAAGATCTTTTCCAAGTTATTTGGATGCAATTTTTTAATCAATTCGCATGTTTTAGTTGTGATACTATCAAGAATTCAAAAAAGAATTTCTTTGAACAATTAAAATATTCTTCCGTTCTTTTTTTTGCGAGAAAACTTCAAAAAAGCGGATAATGAATGCGCATTCGAGTTACTTTTAGCGTGCATATGATAAATGTACTAAATGTTTACTTTGGATGATATTTTTTGGAAGTGCATAAAGAATCTTTAAGTTCTTTCTTCGTGCATTGTCTTCCATAGAAGTTTTATGGAAATTTCCATTTATTCCATTCATTAATGAAAATGTACTTCTATTTCATTCAAGATGCTTACATATCTTCGGCTGTAATTATCTACCGTGTTTATAGCTTATGTCTTATAATAACATCAAGACATCAAAATAAACTCACTTTACGAACAAATATTTATTAAGTAGAGATGCTGAAACTTTTCCCTGTGTGTATGTGTGCGTGTAGATCATATACAATTTATCACTTTGATACCGCACCCCCTCTACGCGGCACGTCCAAAGGCTTCCTCTCCTCGTCCCGCTTAGACACCCACCCTTCGCGCTACGTCCCTGACCCCACCGCCAGCAAGCAAACCACTACATCATACGCGGCACATCGTGGTCTGACTCGCCTTACCATATGTTCGTTTCTCCTTCTCTCTTTCCTGCTCTCCGACCATATCCTTTTTTTTCTCTCTCTTTTCCTCTTTTCTCTTTTCTCTCTCTCTCTCTCTCTTTATGCCCGCGCATCACACATCGCCGACTCGTCACACACTGTCGCCGAAGTCGGTGGATTGCGGGAGCCTGAGAGGTCTCTTTGGGGTTCCTTTTTTTTTTGTGAAATGCCTTTACGGATCATGGAAGAAGGAAGGCCGAAGTACGTTTTTTTCGGATATTTCTGACGTACGTGTTGTGAGAATAGCTATGATTATTCGGACCAGTTTATGTGCCAAAGTTCTACTGCCGATCAATTGGAAACAGTTTATACGAAGAAAAATGTAAGATCTTTTCCAAGTTATTTGGATGCAATTTTTTAATCAATTCGCATGTTTTAGTTGTGATACTATCAAGAATTCAAAAAAGAATTTCTTTGAACAATTAAAATATTCTTCCGTTCTTTTTTTTGCGAGAAAACTTCAAAAAAGCGGATAATGAATGCGCATTCGAGTTACTTTTAGCGTGCATATGATAAATGTACTAAATGTTTACTTTGGATGATATTTTTTGGAAGTGCATAAAGAATCTTTAAGTTCTTTCTTCGTGCATTGTCTTCCATAGAAGTTTTATGGAAATTTCCATTTATTCCATTCATTAATGAAAATGTACTTCTATTTCATTCAAGATGCTTACATATCTTCGGCTGTAATTATCTACCGTGTTTATAACTTATGTCTTATAATAACATCAAGACATCAAAATAAACTCACTTTACGAACAAATATTTATTAAGTAGAGATGCTGAAACTTTTCCCTGTGTGTATGTGTGCGTGTAGATCATATACAATTTATCACTTTGATAAACGCGTAAAATCTATATGATATTTTTTACTGCACATTAAATGTATATTCTTAAAAATTTAATCTGAGTTATAAATTATACAAACTACATTTTCCATAAAGATAGCTTTCGATAATACAATATTTAACATATAATATATTATATAAACTACGTTTTCCATAAAGATAGCTTTTAATAATACAATATTTAACATATAATACGGACACATTATGCATCGCTGAAGAATAATCTCTTAATGTACACTTTACGACAAGCATTTCACGACTTCAATCCGCATTTCGCGAAAAGAAATGAAGTGGACGGTGCAAGTATGGAAATTCTCTATTCTTTGGTTAACTAAGTATATATACGCGCGAGAGGCGGTACACACGAGCGATAAATACGCGTGTACACACGTGTTGCCTGACGCAACCTGAACCACCGGCTCGAGTTTGTACAAGAGAGCCGGAAATGGGGGACAAAATGTTCCTCCAAACGATGTGTCCTTAAATATTCCTTTCACTCGTGCTTCTCAGCTCCTCGACAATTATACGATGTAGAGCGATACTGTACTGTACCTGCTGTGGAGGAGCCGAAGACGAAAACACGTGTTTTCGAATTATTATATCATGTACATTCGTTTTGGACGAACTTATTATTATACAATGACACGGTTGTATATGTATATAATATTTCATTAAAAAATCAAAATCATTTAAATTTTCTAAAAGATATATTGAACATTTTAAGATGCCTTTTCTCTCTCTCTCTCTTTCTCTCTTTCGAATTCGCCAATATTTCGCTGAAAAATTTAATACCTATTTCACAGAGTACTTGAATAAATAACATAAAACTGAAGTCGAAGTCGG